GTGTGTGTGTGTGTGTGTGTGTGTGTGTGTGTGTGTGTGTGTGTGTGCGTGTCTGTCTGTGTTTTCAAAGTGGAATCACAAAGCACATCCTTACCTATAGTTGTGATCACTGTAATAGCAAAATAAAAGGATCCAGCGAATTTCCACTGAACTCCTGCTCTGTGGGGCTCCGCTTGCATGATGATCACTTCCAGTTGCTTGTAATCTTCATCGCTAATGTTATACTTGCCCTTGAGCCCGATCTGCTGTTCTTTCAGCTTTCCACCCTGCTCCATTTCAAACTCGGACTCGAGGGCATCGAAGACAGCGGCTCCCACCAGCAGGTAAGTGAACGTGCAGATGATCAAGGATAGAGTTCGCACGTTCTGCCGCTTCATGGCCTCCAAAAAGCGGCTTGTGAGCGGCTCATGTCCGCTCTCCCTGCTATTCTCCAAACGGGCGAGGTCCACCGAGAAAGCCCGGGTGCAGCAGCCAGGATCCCGGCAGCGGCTGCTCAAGTTATCCGAGATGTACTGGTCCTCGTCGATGGCTTTCTCGGGGGCGGACAGGCAAAGCAAGCTGCTCGATCGCCGGGACCAGGATCCCTGCAACCTAACTCTGCGCAAGACCTGACCAAACCAAGTCGTCCCAGTGCGCAGGGCCATCAAAACAGCACGCTTTAGGTGGGGGGAGAATGCTTTTCGCTGAGCGATCCGTTCACAAAGGATGTGATCGGGTGCCCAAAAGCAGTGCAATCTGCGTCAAAACCTGCTGGTGACAGTGGGGAGATGCTGACGGGGGAATGCACTGAATGGGTTTGGCGGAGTTCTGACCGATCTGGGTGGGATACCCACCAAGTTAGGGTGGGTATGGTTGCTGGAGAGATTTGCCTCCCCCTGGTCGCCTGTCCTCGCTAACCACACCCAGTGGGATCCCAGCCATCGCACATCAGGGTGCTTGGCTTTATTTATTTGTTTGTTAATCTGAAGAACAGGTTTTTCCAGATGGATTTTTGTAATGCAGAACCACAGCTAACGGACCAGCTGATGTCATCCTGGTATTTGCACGATCAAAAAGATGAGGAATTAAATAAACCGCTGAAGGGGAGATTAAAGTCAGGTGAACCCGAAAGACCGAGGGCGGGCACAAGCTGAGCGAAAGGCTAGCAACGGGAACTTTCTTCCAAAAATTGTCAAATCTTTTAGTTCATAACTTACCCTCCCCCATCAATTTCTGATTTCACATAGGGGCCCGTAGGAATAGCTTGGATTAGACGCTCAGGCTAACTTGACATTTATTATGATGGTAATGAGGCAGAATTAGCAGGCTTGTTTTCCATGTTTTGGTTTAATGTGCGTTCGCTGTTGTGTCATTTCTACTTTGAATTGTCGGATTTGCATTTGTCACCCTAAAACATAATTTCTTTTATGGATGCACAGTCAACTGGTGTAGATTGTGCGTTACACTGAGCACGGAGTTTGATTACCAGATCCGGATGCCTGACCCTATCCATGCGCTGTTAAATCGTTTCGAATATAAGTACATGGGAATCATCGGTCTCAGTGGTTTGATTCCTACAAGCATGTGATTTTGATTCCCTGGCATGTGGTTTCAAATAAAAGAAACGCAAGTACGGAATGAAACAGCAGTAAAACGGAGGTCCAAAGCGGCGCGGTACCTCGTCGAATAGAATAACTGTAGTGACTGAATTTGGATCACAGATAAACACCTGCCCAAATAACACGTTATTAAAGTTAGTTCTGTGAAAACATAAACAAGAATCCGGCAAATAAAACAACAGAAACATTTTGGGGTGGTTGGGGACAATGGGAGGGCTGTCCCGAAAGTGTTGCACGCAATTACTCGTAATATGACTTCAGACTAGTGTCAATGTAACCCCTGTTCCATTCAGTCACTTCCCCAAGGTTACCTTGTTCATTTAATCTCATAGAGAAGGGAGCGAAGTCAACTTGTTCAAAAGCTATAAAGTATTTTAGAAGTGCGATACTTCTTGTGCGAGAAAATAAATCTCTTTGAGATGATGTTACATAATAGATAACTCAGTTCATGTTATCTATACAATATAGAAACCCTGAATAAAATGTAATCTCGGTTCGTGCCTTGCATTCATTTGTCGCGTAATTATGTCTTTTTAAGGCTGAAACAATGGTGTAGCTGAAGAACTTGGAGGAACACATCTGTTATAAATAGGGATCCGGTTTTTGCATTTGACTATGTTTAACAGGAGTCATGATTCATGCAAGATCAAAACGTAGTCCCAAAATGGCGTTGATAATGTGGAACCATGTCTGGGAACAGGTAATTAGTCAGAATAAAAAATAGTAGTGTCAAAGGAGCAGAAGCCACGTTGTATCTTTGTTGTTTCTGAACTGTCCGTGGTGCTGAAATACAGCGACAGCCCGAGCTCCAGGGCGGGGTTTTCCGACTGCGCGTCATCGACAGCGGAAGAAATTGACATCATGGGTGAGTTAGATGAAAATTAAAAGATACAGGAAGAGGGACGGGAAATGGTGTGGCCGAGTCAGCCTTCTCTCTGCTGAGTCAGCGGCTGCACAATGCTATTAGCCGCTAAAACTTCAATCAGGTTTAAACAATTTGCTTCTTCAGGACAGGTTAGCTTAGGGACGCACTGTAGATTTGCAAATTACCGTCTCCACCGACCAGGGCATTTTTTTTTTAAAAGTCAGCAAACCATTCAAAATACAGCGCGCTGTTTGTTACTTTAAAACTGCATCTTGTGTTGGAGGGGATCGTTTAATTTCAGGTGAACAGTTCTACTTAGTTGATTCGACGCAAACCGCTATTTGAACGTCTAAAATAATCATTCCCCATAACCTAATCCACGAACAGGACCATACCCCATACTGATACCAGCTGCATTTGTTCCCACATCGTTTTGCACATCAGTTAAGCTAAATCTGCAGAAAATATATATTGATCAACATTAACAAGCGTCATCAACGAGATTACTATAAGTACAACCACTTCACTTCAAGCTAAGGTTGATTTCGACAAAAACACTCTGTGCCGAGGGGTTAAATACATTTAAATGCCCTACTCGCGGGAGATATGAGACGTCCCTTTTCATGTGTTCAGATAGCAATCCGCATTTGCAGTGTTTGTCCTTTGACTTTGTAAACCGGTTAAATAACTTAGACTTCCAATGGCCAACGAAACCGTGAGTTTAACCTGCTTTTGCTTTGCTCTGAGCTGCGAAACAAAAAAAACACACCGCAATGAAAATTCTAAATTCCTCGTCTATTTTTGCAATCGATTGATCCACTCAGTCAGGATGGCCTTAACAGGCTGAAATTGAAACAAATGCAGGTTTGGTTCCAGTAACATCTGAGTTAAAGGAATTGCAATGCCGATTAGTCTTCGTGTTGGTGATTGTTGTGAGACCCACACAGCTAAGTGTGCTAGGAGAGTTGCTATTTATACATTTGCAGACATGCACATGTTCCCGCAATGACCGGAGTAGACGGTGTGGCATGCAGTTTGGTATCATTGTGATTATTATATTTTCTATGAGGCGTTTGACCTAAGGATAATTCAATTCATTACAAATCGGATGTGAATTTTTACGCGCCACTGGACAGTTGCTGTGAAACAGTATATAAATGCAAACGATCTCCCTGCACCCAGGATTCAGCCTGTAGCACCGCAAAACGAAACAGAAAAAATACAGCTGTTTGCAGGAAATAATCGCTGTGGGTTTTGTCTATTCAAATTACAAGATGAGAACAAATAAACAATTTTGTTTTGTGGGGAGGAGGGAGTTGTGGTAAGTGCATTTGGGATGCAAGACAATCATGTGTCTTGAGGACGTACATGGTTTTGCTCACTTTGCAAGTGCCCCTTTCAAAAATATAATTAAGTCGAGGAACAAGTATGCGCCCACCATTTAGCGGGTTCAGGGAAGGTTTGTCAAAACATAATATTTCGCAAGTGAAGGGGGCATGTCACACCATAGCTACGAAAAGGAACACCTTGCCAAACAAAAGGCAACGTAAACAGGTCGATGGGAAATCCACGACCGGTAAGTTGTTTTCAAGTTTAGACAACTCCATGGATTTGCATCTTTTATACTGCTGCACATAATTTTAAAATGGAAAGTCTGCTCATGTACTTTAGTACATTACCATGGTTCAGAGCGTTTGAAGAGATCATAGAATCCCCACACTATGGAAACAGACCATTCGGCCCATCAGTCCACTCCGACCCTCCAAAGAGCATCCCCCCCCCCCAGACCCACACCCCTATCCTACATTCCTCATGGCTAATCCACCTAGCCTAGATATTCCTGGACCCTATGGGCAATTTAGTACGGCCAATCCACCTAACCTGCCCATCTTTGGACCAGATAAATTAATTCGTGCAGCCAAGGTAATCAGCAAGTTCACAATAGGAGCTGAAAGATATGCAGTCATCAATGGTATACTTGATATATTTGGCTTTATATCTTTAGCTTAGAATATCAGGTTGTCTCATACATTATCTCAGGTTTGGTTGAGGTAGAGATTGGGAAGGTTTGTGCCTGGAACCAATTCCCTCAAATGCCCTTCTCCATGTCTTAGATTGGATAGCAAAACGTGTTATGTGTGTAACTCAATACCTATTTCCTTATAAATAACATATTTGAGATAGGGGCAGGGATTAGTTGAGGAGGTATATCTACCTGAGCACTTGTTGAAGAGGTCTCCTTATATATAGATTAACGTTTTCTGCAATTGAAGGTAGTTCAGAGAATGTTAATAGGTTGATACCTAGAATGGCAGCGAGGGAAAGGACTGTTTTATGAGAAAAAGTTGGTCAGGGTAGGCTTGTATCCGCGTGACTTGATTGGAGCGTATAAAATACTGAGGAGCATTCGCTGCGTAGATATGGAGAGAATAATTCTTCTTCCAGGTGAATCTAGAATTAGGGGTCACTGTTTAAAAATCAGGAGTCTCCCTTTAAAAGAGAATGTGAATTTTTCCTCACAAAAGAATAACGAATCTTTGGAAATTTGTTCCTGAAAGGTGATGGAAACAAAGTTCATGAATATGTTGAAGGCAGAGGTAGATAGATTCGTGTTAAGCAAGAGCGAGGGTGGGAGGTGTTAAAAGCTAATACAAGATAGGCGGGAATGTGGATTTGAAGTTACAATCAGATCCACCGTGATCTCATTCAATGGCAGAGTTGACTTGAGGGACTTATACCTGATTCTAATTCGTATGTTTGCGAGGAGAACCTTTCGGGGGGTGGGGGGCGGTGCATCCATTTAAGCAACTGTTGTCTCCAGCCATTCTCGAAAATATTGCAGACTGAGTAAAGTTATGATCTGTTTAAAGGCAATAAGGACTTTATACCAGAATTGCAACTCTTTCATCCTGTTACATTTAAAAATTAA